ACGTCTTGGGACGTGCCAAGCAGCCTGCGGGTATTCGTTAGTTGGTCGTAGTATCTCCAGAGGTCATCCTTGCAGTCGTCCACCTTGCATTTTAACGGAAGTCCCTGTAACAGGTTCCCGTAGAGGTCTTTAAGCATGGGGATTCTCCTCTGGCCATTGGGCTTGTCTCGTTCGGCCCTAATCTTCGCGTGGGCGTGTTTTGCCATGCGTCTTACTACGTTCTTGCACCGTGGACTCATTGGTTCCGTAGGTGCGAGTTCATCGAAGGTCTCCTGTTCCGAGACGGTGAACGATTCCGCCTCCGACCCTTCATCTGAGCTCTCGTCTTCTGGGGTGCTTTCGCCGTTTATTCCCCAGTCCTGTTTGCTCACAAACGTTGCGTTCAACTGTCCTGTCCAGGTGGCATTGAGTTGTTTGCCGACTTTGCGTCCGCCGTTCCCTTTCTTTGGCTGTCTGCAGTCTCGGGCCATGTGGCCTGGCTTGTCGCAGTTAAAACAGAGTCGTTCCTTGAATTGTCTGTCTTTCTTAGGGTCACGGGGTCGTCCAGGTTTGAACGTGGCATCGAGTTCCATTGGGTCCGACCAACGGTTGTCTCGCGGGTGTTGATCCCGTCGTCTGCCCTCGTTTCCCCGGTAGGGGTAACTTTTCTTGGGCTTGTCATAGGTCCGACGTTCCTTCTGGAATTCGTATAGTCGATTGTCGATTCGGACCGTATGTTCGATTAGCGCTACCATGTCCGTTGGTTGTTGTTCCAAACGGGCAAGTTCCATACGTATATGGCTCTTCAGCCCACGTCGGTAGTGGCTGATGAGTGCGCTGGCGTCCCATCCTGTCTGATTGCCGTATCTCTGGAATTCTGTGGAGTATGTGAGGGCGCTGCCAGTCTGCTTAAGTGCAAACAGATGGTCTTCCGCGGTCTTGATCTCATCGATGTCTCCGAACATGCGTCGGATTTCCTTACAGAATCCATTCCAGCTGCCAAACATAGTCTGCGTAGTTGTCATGCTTCCATTGGTGCTTTCATATTTGAAATAGTCCTTGAGGAATGGTTCGATCCATCGCAGGGCTTCCCCCCTAAGGTAGGACGCAGTCCACAGGGCATAGCTCTCCTGGGTGGGAAACTTCTCATCATTGAAGTGCTGGTACAGTTCGACCTGTAGCAAAAACACCTCAAGTTCCTTTCGGTTGCCGGAGTAAGTGTCGGGCAACTTGACGCGTAGAGTTTCCTTGAGTTCGTTGACGGTGGGTGCATCGGGCATCTCTTCATTCTCAGGCTTAGACCTCTGAGACGAAGTTGGCGTGGTGGGGGTTTTCCCTTTCGAACTGACGACAGACATGTTGCTTTGTGTGTAAGCCGGTACCTCGTAGAAGTGGTGCTCAAAGTGTAACGCTGACTTCTAAACGATAGAAGACACAGAGGTTCTCTTGCGTAAGGGTTTACTTATCAGAGGAGGCAGGGGATCAGACACAAAGGCTTCAAGTAACACGTTACTAGTATATAACAAATACTGTATTGAGTTGAGCACGAAGCTCCTATCTAAGGAAATACTATCTACTTATATAGTGGCGTCGTGCCTAGTGGACTCTTGGGAACTCACTCGAGTCCTCAGAGTCCTGGACTCTTAGGACTCTTCTCATCATCCTGCGAGTCCGTCACGTGCCTAGTGGACTCCTGGGAACTCACTCGAGTCCTCGGAGTCCTGGACTCTTAGGACTCTTCTCATCATCCTGCGAGTCCGTCACGTGATACTTTCGGAACTACTATTCCCCGCTGCCCCTCCAGGTACCTGGGCCGGTCTCATGCGACCTCCCTCCTTCCTGTCCTGTAGTTGGCCAGCCTTCTTGTTCCGTCGTAACAGGTAGGTTGTCTTTTGCTCTAACCACCATGCTCTTGGGTCTACAATAGGTGTGCAGGCAGCGTCACAATATCATATGTATTCGTCTATAGTAGGTGCTTGTTGTTGCTTCTGTTCTCTCCACTTCTGAAGGCCCGTCTTGGGTTTTGTGGCTTGTTCAATGGTAGTAAGAACTGGAAGCTCTGCCGCTTTGTATTGGCTCTTCCAAAGATCTTGCACTGCCTCTTTTGCTGCTATAACCCATTCAAGTGGCCAATGGGCATCAAAATAGGTCCACTTCTGTGATGGTATTAATACCATTGCAGCGGTATATACAGCTGACCTCTCTGTCAGGGTATAATATTGATTCAATTTGGCCCAACCCAAGTTTATCATTGGCGCCATAAATGCATCATCAATGTACTTGATTTTCTGCTGCTCAAGGTGATCTAAGAGGTAATCCATTGTAGGCAAGACTCTTTCAAGTGTAGCCTGTCGCCCTTCTGTTGCAAGGGTTGCCTCTTGAAAAGCCTGTAGGACCTCGTGGATATGCTCAAGCTTGGTCCACTCTTCAGGTGCTAGCGTATCCAACTGAATGTCAGCTTTGTATTGAAAGCAATAAAGGTCAATTGCAATCCTGATATCAGCCTGGATCGCGCGATCGATCATTGCAAACCAAGAGTTCCAGCGAGTCTGTTTATCTCTAATAAGACGCCTGCCATGGCTTAACTGTAAAAAGGTCTCTTCTCTCTGGGGACTACGTTGAATGAATACAACAATATTATGAAGCTTGCCAAGAGGACCCTTTTGACGCCACAGATCCATTTCTAACTCGGTAGGAGTAGTGTATATACCAGGGTTGCTTTCAGAAGAGAATGCCTCGTTATCATATCCAAAGAGGAAAGCCTGGGCAACAAGATTGATAATATGGCCATTGCAACGAAGCCGATGATGTATAGCGAATATTCAATGTTATACTCATTAAGTAGCAGGGCCGAAAGAGTTGCAATCATAGTATCATTATTAGTTGCGTGTAACGCTGACTTCTAAACGATAGAAGACACAGAGGTTCTCTTGAGTAAAGGTTTACTTATCAGAGGAGGCAGGGGATCAGACACAAAGGCTTCAAGTAACACGTTACTAGTATATAACAAATACTGTATTGAGTTGAGCACGAAGCTCCTATCTAAGAACTAACTATCTACTTATATAGTGGCGTCGTGCCTAGTGGACTCCTGGGAACTCACTCGAGTCCTCGGAGTCCTGGACTCTTAGGATTCTTCTCATCATCCTGCGAGTCCGTCACGTGCCTAGTGGACTCCTGGGAACTCACTCGAGTCCTCGGAGTCCTGGACTCTTAGGACTCTTCTCATCATCCTGCGAGTCCGTCACGTGATACTTTCGGAACTACTATTCCCCGCTGCCCCTCCAGGTACCAGGGCCGGTCTCATGCGACCTCCCTCCTTCCTGTCCTGTAGTTGGCCAGCCTTCTTGTTCCGTCGTAACATTGCGTTATCCATCATGAAGTAGCCTAGTTTTGAAGCAATTCCAAACTCTGCAATTACCTTCACAATTATGAGGGCTTGATTCTCTCCTGTATGCCTTCCGTGGATCTCTCGTAAGCCAAGCACTGATTGACAAAGATCTCCGTTCTCTGCAATATAGTGGCCAATAATGCCAACTAGAGGAAGCTTGTTCGGAGAAGTCCAAAGATCCACGGTAAAGTGAATCTTTGAAAGTGCTGACTGTACACGTGCTATCACTTGGTTTCGTTCGTTGTCGTAGCATCTCATTGTCCATTTATGTATTGTACTGTGACTTGTTGGAAGCCAGTTATTGACCTCTGGATTAAGGTATGCAAGGAGGTTTCTGAATTCGGAGATTTCGACTATATTGAACGAGACCGAACAACGTGATATCCATTGAATAAAGAGCTGCTCAAGAGTTGATGGGTTGATTGTGGTTGATTGAACTGAGTCAAGACGACGTCGTTTGTATTGCGTTTCAAGGCCTCGTGCCATCGCAGTAGATATACTTAATTGCTGAAGGGTGTTTTGTTGCTCCCGACTATCAACAATCTCATGTACAGTCTGTAGATGAACTGCAATAAATGCTGTACCACCAGACTCTCTGTACTCCTTTGGACAATACTTGCAACGCCAGTATATAGCCTCAGAGCCTTCCTGTTGATATATTGTGTCAATTGGACCCGGCATATGCTTCCATACAAAGGATGTCCGCGCCCGACGCTTTTCTGTTGGTTTTCGTCTATATCGTTTGGTAGAAGAGGAGGATGTGACGGGATCGAACGATTCGAGGTCTGGAGTATCGTGGCTAGAAAGAACACTTGATTCAGGGGGTGGCGATGATGCGCCTGAAGGGTCCATTTTGTCTTGATACAATAGTATTTACATTAAAGGCTTCAATTTCTACAGGACAAGAGATCGGTGAAAACTCTATCTCATACCCTGTTAATATTGCAATATCCTAGTCATATATTGCGATAGGTAATTTTGAATATTGCACTGCAACAATATCGTAATTTTTACTATTGCACTGCAAATAATATTGCAATAGCTAGTATTGCAATAGTCAAATACTACTGCCAACACTGCTTCTAGGCACATATGCCCAAATTTCATCACTCCTTACAAGCTCATCAAAACAGCCATGTTCATTCATGGTCACTATCATCAAACCTATTGTCAGCTTCTCTCTGCAGTCTCAAGAAGAGGCTGCTCACCTTGAAGTCCCTCTTGACCTCCTCGCTGCCCCCTCAATCACCCTGCAGAAAGGCCCCCCCCCCCCAAGCTCCCATCAATCTCCCCTCCCAATCAAGAAACTTGGCTAACTTCAACCGCAGGAACCTATCTATCTATCAATGGCCTCCCATCAATGATGCAACATCTCCCAGGCAATACCCCAGACGCGAAAACTTCCCCGTTCGTTTTCCTCGGTGGCAGAAAGAAGCCCACACCAACAGCAACAACAAGAAATGGATCCCGGCCACGATGAATGGATCTCTAACATCGCCAAATCCTCCCAGGTAAACAGCGGCCATTATAAATGGATCCTGGCCTAGATGCAGGCATCACCAAACATCCCCATACCGACAGCAGCAATAGGAAATGGATCCCGGCTGTAAGTGGAATTCCCAGCCTAGATCTAGGGCCAGCCAAATCCTCCCAGGTCAACAGCGGCATTCGGAATGGAACCCAGCTGTGGGCACACAGTTCGAAGCGCCACGAGCGACAGCGAGATCTTCTGGTACCTCTCCAGCCGTGGTTGGTGTCGCCTTCTCCCCTCCAACACTCGGCCTCCCACTGCACTTGCAATCCATGTAGAGGAGCTCCCTCAGTAGGTCATATCCACAGGACATCCTAGCGACAATCCTGGCCCAGGTATCCAGGACCATTCTCTTCGGATCCCAATTGGATTTGGGGGTCTCCCTAAAGCAGCTAAATGCACACCCTTGCTGGCGTTGTCTACTGCAGTAGTTGGCGACTCCTTCAGTTTTCGCGTTTATATGAGGTTTTGGGGGTCCAAAGGGGGGGCCTTTGGATTTTCGAAAAAACGGCTCTAGCATTTCTGAGGGGTGTTTTTAGCCCTGATTTTGGGCTTTTGCTATAGTCGCCTTGTGGAGCTGTTTTAGGGCAGCTGTCATAGCTCAGTCATAGCTGGCCCGTTGGATTTGATGCTATCACCGGTATGTTTTCCATGTTTTGCGCAATTCTATTTGTTTACTTTTTAGTTCTTCGTTATTCTGAATTCAGTGTCCCTGGTCGTGGCCATCTACGGCAGATCAAACACACAGGTGAGTTGAAGCTATTGGCCAAGTATTATTCCTATTTTTCCTCTGTCTTATTTAACTGTTTCAAGCTTGCTTTTGTAACTTTTCTCGCTCTTGCCAACACTCTCTGTTTTCCTCATTTTCCGTTTGATGCGAATCAAACGGCCTTCGATCAAGTTCGCTGTAGCAGACTTGATAGCCCAGTTCAGGTAAGTCCGCTTTATCTTGTGTTCTCTCTTTTTCTTTACTTCCGTTGATCAACCAACAATGCTCAACAGAGCTGGCTTTTCGCAGCTCTGCACGGTTTGTCCCTTGCTCCTCCCCGCCCCTCTCTTGTTTACAACTGCTAACTATCTGGCGCCATGATTGCCCACAGGAATCTCATGTTCTTACTGCCGGGCGGACCCTGAGCTTCTCGACGCTCTTACGAAGCTTTACACACCGAATATCTCAAACGAAACTTGGAATCCTCGATGCACAAAGGCCAGCGGAACACACCAAAGGATACACTAGATGATAAGACCTAGCGAAGGTCTTGAAAGAGCTTGGAATACAACTTGGCCTGGGGTAATTCGGGATGTGAAGGGGGCGGGGGGTCTGGAGTCGTCCGTTGCCGCTGGCCAAACGGGGAATTACGACATTGGCAAGGGGCGGGGGCAGAATGGGGGGTGAGGGGGTGGTAGATATCTGTATGTAGTAATAATAAGAGTCTCATCTTGATTGCCGGTCTTTTGCCTCGTGAGCTGTCTTCTTGGCGTGACTGTTTTTACTCAGGACCTTCTGCACACTGTCATGGGCCAGTTATGGCCGGCCGAACAGTCTTGGGGCTAAATTACAGTAGTAGCCCAGTCTCATCAGCACTCACTGGCCATGCATCAGAACAGTCAATTTCAACGTTTACGGATAGCCTCATTCTACGATCTACAGACACAAACCCGTCTTTTTCAACCCTCCATTCCGACCGTAGGAACGGTCTTTTTACCAATTGGTCTTACTTCGGCCGCCGTTCCAGGACCGCTCCTGGCTCCATCCACATTACGGGTGGTCCGAGCGCCTTTCAGAGTCCCCGGACCGTCCTGGGACCACTCCAAATTTATGTGGCGCGCCGGTAAGGTAGTAAGGACGTACAGTACTTAAAACTTTAATACGTCTAAGAGGCGGGGAACAGCACATTAGCCAGTAAGTCCTTAGCTTGTGTTTTGATCTTCTACACCCCTGCCATTCTGGCTCAATTCACTTCGTCTTTGAGTCTAACAGCAACACGATTCCAGGTGATGTTAGAAAATCATCGCCTTAGTGCTGAATTATACAAGGAACTCCTAAGATTACTCTCGGAAGGTCTGATCAAGCCTCCTCGAGTCAAGGCTATTGAAAAACTCAATCTGCCTGCAATTTTGGAAGCTATGGAGCTCAACCGCTCAGGGAAGGCGACCTCGCGACATGGGTGGCTTTAAGGGATAATCAAGAACACGAAAAATAACAGTAATGAAATGGAATTCATAGTTGATATTTTCAATTAGGAGGCGGGGTGGTTCGTTCGGCCCCAGATCAACCGAATCGACCTCGAATCCTCGCCGACAGAAGCGAGTTGCATTGTCGAGAACGTCACTTTACCGAACTCTTAATTAACGGAGATCACTTCAAACTAGAATTTCTATAGATATGTACTTTAGCGCCTGAACTTCATTCATCTCATCGTCAGAACCCTCCGTCAACCTTAATCTGCGATGGCTGAGGCTGTTGAGGCTGTTGAGGCTGTTCAGCCACCCCCGCATTAATCGGCGAGACAAGCAAATGTCCAAACTCGTAGCCAAGCATTCCTCCCCGAACACTCCAAGCCTCAATGTCCCTGGCTCGTAACACACTCGTAGCAACTCGTGCTGTATCACCATCGTAGCAAAGGATCATGACGGAGTGCCCAGGGCTATTCAGCGCCTTGAGGCGACCCTCGGAGTTCCCGTTTTTCGATACAAACAGCGATTCCAGCTCCAGCCATTGCTTCTCTAGAACCTGAGACTCGAAAAATGGGCTCTTCCCACCCCTAGCAAGAGATTTAAGGGGCCAATTCGCCGCATCTGGCAGATGGCCACTTTCGAAATCCGTGGTGTCCCGTAGGTCAATGAGGAACCATTCCGGGCGGCATTGGATGGGTATTTCTGTTGTTGAGTAGAGCTTTGACATAGCGGCTGGAGCTTCAAGCTCCCAGGCTTCGTCGTAGCGGTGGAGGTCTACATTAAGGAGATTCTGTGAACGCGTGTTAGTATTAGCGAGGAAAATTGGCGAGATACAACATAAGGGATAGTAGGACTTACGCTGTTCTGGATGGGGTGGAAGTATCTTTCATCCAGTTTAACGAAGTAGTCATCCAGATACTGGTAAGGCAGATCACAGCATATGAATACACAGTGAATTTCGCCATCATCTCCTGATAACTCTTTCATGGCTCCAGCATCTTTCTTTTTCTGGAGATAGTTGTAGAGGCCTATTTCAATGTTGTGAGCGAGTTTTTTAAGAACGAACATCTTGTAGAAGGAGAAAATGCGGGGAAGAAAAGAAACAGAACAGAATTTACTGCAGTGGCGCTCCTCTCATCATTAATTCATTCGGGTAAACCTCAAGGAAAGACCAGCAAACCCACCTTGTAGATTAAAGCCGGAACTCGGCCCACAGACGAGTCCCTCCCTCGACAACTCCATGCTCAGTCGATACGCATCCTGAGATCCGCACTCTTCCAACTCATCGACAGCCTGTTTCCACGGAAAGTTGATTGGTGCAAGCAGAGCGTGGGATCGTGGTCCCGGAACGCGATCGCCAGGTTTGGTACAGACACTACATAGCACCAATATATTAGTGTACCAAAGAACTGTATGGGTGCTAACAACGAAAGTAGACACTCACCCAACTCTTGTGATGGAAGGCTTGGCTTGCTTCAGATACGTGCCGATCCCCGTCATTGTACCCGCAGTTCCCATGCCGGCACAAAACACGTTAATTTGTGGCAATTGTGCAATAATTTGTGGCCCGGTCCATTTCATGTGTGCACCCCAGTTCTGTAAGATGGGTCAGTCGTATATTCGATCCATGTGCGTAGCGTTCATTTTTGGCATAAAAATAGTTTGAAACCTAGGAAATAGGAGAGGGACAAAAGAGGAGTATTTTGAACCTAGACACACCAAGTCATTGACATATTGATTCGGATTGTATGTATCATCTCTATCTTGTGCCAATTTATGGGCGCGATAGATCCCGCCCCTTGCATCTTCAGGCTCGGGCTGTGATGGCCCACCAAAGACAGATCTGTTCATTCTAGATTAGTATAATAAAGAACCATAAGTAGCCACTGTATGAGACCCTTTGCAACTTAATCAATTGAGTCTCCAAAAATTCGGCGTGCTAGACGACGAATCTGACTCATGTGACGACGATTACAACGTGGGGATTTGGAATGAAACGAATCATAAAAACAATACACACATATTCAGCCCAAAAAACCTCATCATCTGCAACTTCGCAAGCGAGGTCTTGTTGCTCAAAAAAGCCCTCGTATCTTCAATCCCATATAAAATCCTCGCAATCATACCCAACGACACAACCGTCGAGCCTGAGCTATACTCAACAAGAGTCTTAATTTTGCCCTGCGTCATTTTCTCGCTTTGTAACATATGCATTGCTGTTGTTAAAAAAGGAACGGTCAGAGTCAGCAAAATAAGTAAGCTGTGATGTGGTGGTATTGGATGTTCCATGCACCGCAGCCCACATAAGGTACGTACCTGGGAGAGCCTTGACGTTGTTTGCTGGAAGGGCTGACATCATTTTTGCATAGATACGCACGCCATCTTGATGGAAGGGGTTGAGTGATAGGGGGACTTCGACGAGCGGTAGAGGAGGTTGTTTGTTTGGGTCCCAGTAATTCCGGAGACTATCCAAGCCCGTATAGACGTTGAGATATTGTTGTGCGGACATTGTTCTCGTTTGATTTAGATTGGTAAGAGTTGCTTGAGATGGTTCTTCTTTAAGGCCTCTTCTAAGGTGGCGAAGGGGTGTTGAAGTGAAGGTTCATGTGCAGCATCTTAGGTATTAAAGTGAATATCCTTGATCTACCTCAGGACAGTTTTGTCCTGAGGTAGATCAAGGATATTCACCTTGACGGTTATTCACCTATTCACTTGATGGTTATTCACCTTGATGGATACACTACTCTGCCGTGAATTAGCGCCGTCGATCGTTATGAGCGCCGATCGTTATGCCGATCGTTATGAGCGACGATCGTTATGAGCGCCGATCGTCGTACGTTCACATAACAAATATCGAATGAAGGTGAAAAGGAGTAGATAACTTAGAGCAATGAATACATAAACATACTACGTGAAAATGCGCAAACCTCATGTTCCGAAGATTCTTTAAATGGGCGAAATCAAATTGTCAGTATCCATATTGCTTATTGCGCACTGATGGCCGCTGTGACATGCTTGCTTCCCTCGTTGGGTCTGGTAGGCAGAAATCACCTAATTCACCTTGATGGTTATTCACCTTGATGGTTATTCACCTTGATGGTTATTCACCTTGATGGTTATTCAACTTGATCCAATAGCCCATACGGCATACAGTATAGTATATAGCTACGCGGTTGAAAGACAAAGCGGCACGCTTCTTGGTACATTTCTGGTGACATTTTGGTGGTGAACCGTGCCATTCTTTCTTTCAACCGCGTAATAACCCACTAAGATATTTCTGAACCAGCATCAAGACGCCAACAGACCCGATATTGACAGAATCCGTACGTTCGGGGCCTTACTATTCCTTGATTGATTCGACTTTTTTCATGGACATGGCGATCACTAGCAAATGTGCTGTGGTGGATAACGCTACGACAGCGACCGCAGTAACGATGGCGATGGATTTCGAGAACAACGGCCTCAAGCAGGGAGGGAGTCAGTCACCGCAGACTCAGTTTGGTGACCAAAGTAGTCGGCTTCCACAAAGGACCATTATCACTGTGAGTTTTTGATCTCTGTGTTTTATTTAGAAGTTATATGAGTTTGGATTCTGAGCTATGGATTGTTTATTTATGCCATGGATGCCTTTTGGGGGTTTGCAAGGAGAAGTATACGTATACAGACAGAAAGAATTGGATCGGAATAGACTGGTTCATCTGCCTGGTATTAGGCGTCGTTGAGACGAGCTCAATATCTTAAATCTTTTTTTGGTCCTCTGTTGCGTTTGTTTTCGAAACCGGTGCTGCTTCCACTCCCTTATCACACTTTCATCCACATGCCGTCTTACAAATATTCCATCACAGATCTTCCTCGCCTGCGCCACCGTCGACCTCGTAGCGCTCATCGATCAGACATCGCTCGCTGTGGCGCTTTCTACGATCGGGAGTGCGCTGAATTCGAATAGCCAGACCAGTTGGATAGCCTCGGGGTATTTCATGTACGTTCCTGCCGCAAGTCTCTCTTACTTCCTTCATGGTCTTACTTCCTCCATGCTCTCAATTGCTCCGTCCTCTCTTTCTGCTAGGTCTGCTGGGTGTTAATGGTGGTGGGTGCTGCTGGTGGTCTTGTTTTCAGCCGGCTGGACTCGAAGAAAGAAAGTAAAGGAAGGGGCAAGGAAGGACTCGAATGAGGAGAAGAACCGAAGACAAATCCTTGCGTGCTGACGCTATCCTGCCATGCTATAGAACATCCACCTCGTTTCAGCTCCTCTATGGCCGGCTCTCGGACATCTGGTCTCGCAAACACGTCCTATATACCGGCCTCGCGCTGTTCTTCCTCGGCTCCCTAGCCTCCTCATTCAGCACCTCCGTCATCCAGCTGATCGTGTTCCGCGCTGTCACTGGTATTGGCGGAGGCGGGCTAATGACAGTTGCGCAGATTATTGTGTCGGACGTGGTGAGTTTGAGGGAGAGGGGTCGGTACCAGGGCATTTTGGTAAGTCTCGACATTTTCATGCTAGGCAAAGTTTTTGTCCTCGACGTTTGTTATCGTGAGTCTTCTTGCTAATTAATTCCCCGTGCGGGTGTGAAGGGTGCAGTGGTAGCCCTCTCAAACGGTGTAGGGCCCTTGATAGGAGCGGCACTCGCGTCGGCGTCCGCGGGTGGCTGGTAAGTCAGAAGCGCAAATTGCAAACAATTTCTTGTCCACTTCCAAATACCCCGCTAATTCCCTTTTCACATCTTTTGACCAAAAAAGTGTGTAAAATTAAGCAATCATAAGCTAATCCAAAACTAGGCGATGGATCTTCCGCCTCAATCTCTTCACGGCGGCTTTGACAACGGCCTGCTGCCATTTCTTTATGCCCTTGAAAAAGACCCAAGGACATTGGAAAGAGTAAGTATTGCCTTTACATCATGGCTGCAAAAGCAGACTGACTTAGTTCTTCTGTTCTGTGATTATAGGAAATTAAAGGCCGTTGATTTCTTCGGTGCAGGGCTTACTCTGCTCGGTTCAACACTCCTGATTGTAAGGAAATTCCCCACTCATCCTTCCTTCCATCCACCAATTCAAATTCACAAATAGAAGGCTATAATTCCTTCCTTCCGCGTCTCTTTCTTCGGCGCCCTTTGGCTCTTGTAAGCAAGATAACTAACATATATCTTTGAACCCAGCTTGGCCTAACCTGGGGCGGAAGCCACCAATCATGGAATGCACCAGTCGTGGTCTCGTCTCTAGTACTTGGTTCCCTCTCCATCATCGCGTTTATAGCTTGGGAATGGAAAGGCACAAAACATCCCTTGGTACCGAGTAAGTCTGTCTCATGCCCCTTCAGCGCAGAGCTCCACATTGGGGATGAACGTGCCCGTGACGCGAGACCTGAGAATGTCTCTCAGGGAAACAACAGGTTTCCACATGCATGCTAATCTCAACTCCTCTCGCCGCGTCACAGTGCACATCTTCAAATTCCGCATGGTCAATGGCGCTTGTCTTACCATGGCCATTAACGGCTGGTTATTCTTGACTCAAATTTACTATATCCCGACGTTCTATCAACTCGCATATGGATATTCGCCCATCAAAGCAGGAGCTTTGTTGCTACCGCTGACTCTAGTTCAGAGTAAGCCAGATACAGGATTTCTCTTCCCTCTGTTAAAGCCCCTGTCTTGCTCTGTTTTGCATCCAGATGTTTAGTATACACCTTCACTAATGATTGGGCGTGCTGTAACAGCTTTTAGCAGTACTCTCTCAGGTTTGATTGTTACTTGGCGCGGTCGTTACAGGGTGAGTCTCGTCCATCCATCCTTTTTTCCAATAAACACTCCACCAGCAGCGGTGCCATCGGTTCACCCATGCTGGCTAATCGAACCACGCTGACTCCATACTGACAGGAAAGTATCTTAATCGGCTGGATACTATGGACAGTTGGGCTTGGTCTCTTCTCGACACTCGACGCGCATTCGGGTCTTGGCAAGCAAATTGGCTATGCGGCTTTGACAGGTTTCGGTGTTGGACAAACCCTCCAACCGTAAGTGCTTCCTCTAGTTTGTGTTACCATGTCCGAGTTGTTTTCAAAGCCTATAAGGGTAGAAATTTATCAACGATACTATAGTATATTAATATCGTCTACAGATCTCTCATCGCTATTCAAGCGGGCGTCAAGACGGAGGATATGGCTGTAGTTACTGGCACACGGAAGTACGGATTCCCAGTTCCCATGAAAGTGCTATGCACTGTTGCTGCAATTTGTCATATTTATATCTAGTTGGCTAACTCAGTCCACTCACACAGCTTCGTTCGCAACCTCGGTGGCACCTTTGGCCTCGCCGTCGCTGGCACAATCATGTACTACTTCCACTCCACTTTTCCATAAACTCAAACTGCAAAATCCTATCTTCGGAAGCTCACTTCAAAAACTATAGTAACACCTGCCTCCTCAACGCCATCTCCTCACCCACGCTCGGCCTATCCTCAACTGAAATCGATGCCATCCTCAATGCCCCTGCCTCCAGTGGCAGCGTTCTCTCCTCCTTCAGTACCACGCAAAGAGCGGATGTCTCCGCTACAATTCTCGCAGCCTACCAGCGGGGATTCCGCATTATCTTCCTTGTAGGCGCGGTGCTGGCTGCATTATCATTTTTTTTTGCAGTGTTTTTGATGCCGCAGATTCAAATCAAGCATGAGGAGAAGGAGGGGGATTTGTCGTCCAACACGGTAGAAGAAGGTGAAGGAGGCATTCAAGGAACTGGGAGTAATGTGTTTGTGGCAGGTGATGTAGAGAGAAAGGTGGAAAAGGAGGCGGAGAAGATGCATAGTACCTGACGCACCAGATTAAGCTAAGGCTGGATCAGACTGGGGATCTTTCAGCATGGTTGTTTCAAGCATATTTCTTGTGCATTCAAATGGACTATAGAGTAATACGAACTAGAGTAGATAAAATCAGCTGTCGAGTGTCTTGACCTCGTGCGCTTTCTTAAACAGGGTTCTCTTCCGTCGTCGAAGTGATTAATAAGATGGTTAGAGTGGAAAGAACTGTACCCCTATGTCACCCTTATTTCATCTACCTTCGTCTGGTCATATAATCTTGAGGTGTTTCGTAGGGAGGTACGTCAACAAGAACTTGAGTTGGGGGATATCTGTAACAGGGTTATAGAGTTTGGGAAAGCTCTAGCTGGTCCGGAAGATGGTCTCATTTATCTTTATTCTTTTTGCTAGTTGTTCAGACACTTTGTGCGCCTGACTGGCGCGTCGCCTTGCTTCACTCTCCTGGTGTTAGCTTCGGCACGCTCGAGAGATGTGAATAATGTTTCCGCACAAATATGTATGCCTTGGGTAGATCTGTAAAAGTCGCAACAAAAGCTTTAGTACCAAGTCCTCGGAGTCGCATGTTTTCTGCAAATATCGCCGGCTAGAAACTCTTAACGTGATACAAGATTCTAGGCTTTCGCGCAATAATTTAGCTAATGTCGTGTCCACACTTTGTTTTCGTTGAGAGGCACGATATTAGAACCGATATGAACCTTGAAAGCGTGAGAGTATATCGGTACAATCTTGGAGCATTTTCATGACAGCACTCATACCAGTGTTCGGCGGATCGTATCCAGATCTGATCCGCAGCTGTCACGGATAGATCATGATCCGGTCAACATTTGACGGATAGATACGGGTTATATCCGGATCTTTAGGATATTGAGGCTTAAAATAGATAAAATAAATGCATAGCTAAACGGCTAGTCCTCCCCCTCGTCATAAGCGTCTTCAGCTTCACTATCTTCAACCTCTAGTATATGACCCCAATCTCTTAAACATAGTAAATATCGAAGTGTTTCAGGAGAGAGACTATTCCTTTTCTTCGTAAGAATATGTTGAAGTGTATGATATCACTTGCAGCGGTAGTATAAGTCATCAAGTTGAGTTGAACAACAGTTCACTGTAATATGTGTTGTATTGTTTTTCTGAGTGAAGCTATCTACGGAACTATTTGTGGGTGGTCCGCAACCCGATTCGGTTGGCGAGCCACACGCCCAACCAATCAGTCTGAGCAACCTCCTCCTTCAACAGAATATCAGCTCCATTACTAAAGACCCGTTCCGATGGAGCAGATGTTGCTAGAATTGCTAAATGGTTCCGAGTACTACTCGAGCATCCTCGAGTAGAGTACTCAAAATTGAAGCTCGAGTACCGGTATTCGAATACCGGTACTCGAATACCGTGAGTAGTACTCGCATATAAAATAATCGTCCGTGTAATGGTGGGTGCACCAGATGTGAGAATCTAGCCACCCAAGGAAGGGATGATTTTACTAAGACAACACTCTGTCTTGGGAAAAAGAGCCAAAGGGTCGTAGCTTAGACTATTCCACAATGCAGCAATCAGGTGTATGATGTAGTGGAGTGGTTTAGACAAGTTGTAACAAATATTGAGTCTGAGAACTCAGGGATAAGTCAGAGGTTAGCACCTCACTGACTTTTCAGAAACAAGGAGTAACAAGATCAATGCTTGGAAGCTTGGAAAAGACGTAGAAGTATGTGATAGTCGATTTACTGTATTGTCTGCTTGCCCTATCTTAAGGAAAGGGCAATCCTATTTATGCTAAAGGAGTGTAGTTCTCTCATTTTCCAAGACTTTCCATGACTAACCAGGCTTGGTAACTGTAGTCGACATAAGAGAATCCCATAGAACCATCTCCTAGGTTCCTAGCCTATAGGAAGTGAAAGGAGGTCCAAGGTCAGAGTACCCCTATAGACAAATTATGTCATAACTTAACCAATCTTGTGGGTAACTAAGGAGCGATGACGTGTAATGAATCATAGACGGTTGTAGAAGCTTTTGGAGCTATCGTTCATGTCATGTTCCTAGGCCTCTAGTTGATAGAGATATGTCATGTGTAGTATTAGCCCAGTAACTAAGGAGTGATGTCATGTAATGAATCATAGAGGGTTGTAGAGATATGCTATGTGGTCATATCGGCCCAGAAACTAAGGAGCAATGACGTGTAATGAATCATAGAGGGTTGTAGCAATCGTTGAGTAGTATTGCTCTTGTTGTTGGTGTGACAAGCCAAAATATGTATAGTGACTTGTAGATTTGAGGAGGAGATTTGTAAGTTTGCTCTTGAGTTTGATAGCAAACTGAGTGCAACGAATGTTAGTATGACACTACTTTTGAAAAGTAAAGGCTTTACATCCTACAAAACGAGTATGGTTTGTGGATGATAATGTAAGTCTTCATTTGAAGGCTCACCGATCATTGGAAGATTATATGAAGAAGGAGGGAATCTATAGAGTGAAATTTTGGCCTCCAAACTCTCCCGATTTGCACCCTATTGAAAATGCCTTTGATTATCTCAAGGATCAGGTTGACGGCTATACACCATTAAACGGAGGGAAGTTTGAGAGAGCTCATGCACGGGTATTTCTTGAGGAAGAATGGGGGGAAAAAATGGATGGGAAATCTACACAATTATGTGCTTCGTTTAAGGACAAGTTGGAGCGGTGTATTGCAGTCAATGGGGGGAACAACTTTCGTGGGTAGATCAGTACGAGTAGAGTATGTACATGCATTTTCTCCAAGTACTTACACGCCCCACTTATTACGCACAGACCCTGTGGAAACTTTTGGGCCGCACGAGTATCTGTCGTTATTGCAAGTCGTCCACCGCTTATAATATGTTGTTGTAATTCTACTTGAAGCCGTGCTTTATGATAGCAGAATAGTCGTCCGATCGTAGTTCTACTAACTGTCAAAATCGTAGGGTTTAGATGATGAACTAATTGCCAGAATGAGTGGCTTTCCACAAGGCGTAGCGGTAGGTTATTTGATACCACAAAAGAGAGTACAAGCTCTCTATATTTCGACGAGCTTGGTGCGTTACTGGGTGCTTGGCGGGGCTGGAAAAAAGCAGAAGCAGAAGCAGAAGCAGACGGCGTTAACGAGCTTCTAATTGAGGAGGATAGCTTCTCGTATTCTGCATGCACAGATGGGTGCATCTTCTTAAGATGCTTCCAAAGATTACTCGTCGTCTGGCTCTTTAGTAGCTGGCTTGGCATATAGCTGCAATCGGTTTGAAGGCATTGGTATTGGATTCTAGCAGGTATTGTATCTAATAAAGTACGGTAGAATAGCCCTTTCAAAAAGAGACAATTTCAGCTGCTAGCATTGCCCTTCTAGCGTTCCTTATAATTCAAGGAAAGACATTAAGCGTAGGCAGGAGGAGGAGGAGGAGGAGTAACAACGGCAATTAGCCGTTGAAGAAAGCAGGTTTGTTGACTTTACAGACCTAAACTACGACATGATTCACAGTGCAAGTAACGGTAGCAGTGATAATGAATCACTGCCCGAGAATATAGATCCTAACTTATTTAATTGATTAATTTTATATACCTATGTACGTCGTTTGTTCTGTCGTGTTCGTTGTTTCGTTGTCGCGTTCAACTCGCGCGCGTCCTCTGCCAAGAGAGTGCACGATCGCTTTCGCAGTGCCGATCGCTTTCGGTGGTTTGGAAACCAACGATTATACGCTTTATAAATAATCATGATTATGATTACGTCTAAATAATCATGATTATAATTGATTTTCTAACCCTGTCGATAATACTCACGACCAAAACTAGCCGTATGACAAAGGGGTGTGGTACATTACATTCCTGCATTCATAGCCAGGAATGGGACGATGTTCAGGCAGTAGAGAAGATAGGGGAGTTAATACATTACAGGGTAAGCCTACATTGCCATGTTCTTGATTTGATGCCGACATAAGCAGGTAACAATATCTCCAGTTGGAAGCGCGACAGGCCCAGTCGAACCAATAGTTTGTTCCTGGCTCCAGCAGGTTCGTGGCTTTAGCGACGATCAAGAATAAGAAGGAGGCAAAACAATACTTTGAAAGCAAGCTGCGCGTTCATGACAGGGCAAAGGGTCTACATGGCTCGCTTCGCAGCATAATCCGCGAAACTGTGGTTGCCTTGGATATCCGAGAAGTGGAGTTAACTATCGAGTTAACCAGATCATGGGACTGCGACACTATACAAAGACTTTCTAGACATTGACTATCCCGGTTGCCACGAGGTCGACGTTGAGGATATTAGGTGTGGTAAAGATGGCCTTCAACGATATTCTGACATCGGATCTTTAAGTCAGCTCATATCCTTGTTAACCCGAGCTTCGAACATCCAGCCCAGTGCATTTTTCGCCAGGAATGGGGCAAGAGCGAGAGCGAGACCAAAGCTAGACTGGATAGCTTGGTAAAATACAGAGGTAGGCCCGCACCCTCCTTATATGCCCCACAACATAAACAGTTAGATCTCGAACTTCCCGGCGCAGGAGTTCTCAGAGTTCCAGACACAGGAGTTCCATGCCCCAAAGGCGCTAGTCAAATTATGGAAACTATCGACCAACTCCGACTGAGCAGTGATGAGCGTATTCGAGTCATCATTTGGGAATTCGCGGAGATCATGAATTGCAGGCTGCGCTCGTTGCCCCTGAATACCTGTCGTCGGAAACATCTCCCGGACAATTCGGCCGAAGAGGGCGTCGCAGCTGGGCTTGGGAAGTTGAGCCTCGAGGGACGGATCAAGTTGCTAGGAATGAGGAATTTCGTTTGAAGTATGGGATATGGCTGGGAAAAGTTCGAGGTAAATCAGAAAATGATATGGATTTTTTGTGCTTGCAATACAGTGTTTGTCTGGGAAATATTGGGATAAAATAGAAAGATCAAAAATCGTTGGGACACGGCGTTTGTTTGAGAAAGGTTATGCGGATGCAATAGAACAATTCATAAATGATTTCATAAAGATGCATCGAGTGAGTATTCACGTAGAAAAGGGGCGCTCTTCCACTCTCCTTCCAAACCTTGCTCACATCTCACCGCCTCACACACACACACAGCACAACTCGAAGCATAATAACCAGTAATTACGCCCAGCCACTATGTATCGCTATCCCACACCCACACACCCCTTCCAATCCAAAAAAAACCCCGCACAAATTCAAACATCCTCCAACATCCACCCACCCACCCATCCCTCAACTTTCAAGCAAGTAGTTTTCCCAAACAAGATGCATCTCCTCAGAACCCAGTGATGATGGCAAAAAAGAACGGACAATATTTCAATCGGCTGGGGTGTACCTTTTATTATACCTCCTCCCCCCCCTTGACACTAGAAACGTAAGTTAAAATTCTTTGATCCCTGCAAACTACCAAGACAAAAATCCCACTCCTCCTCCCCGCCTCTGCATCGCGGAGTATAGATACGATTCTATTCCAGCCCGAAGCCCATAGTCTCCTCCACCGCCGTCGTGAGCTTGCCCTGTAATGCGTCCAGTGATTTATAAGGCGGTAGGTCCAGACGGTTGAAGCTGTTCATATATGTTAGCAAATGTCTCAAAACCCCCCATCAATAGACGGAAAAAACCTACCAAGTATGCGACTTCGGCAAATTCCCAACATCCCCCGCCTTCTCAATCGTAAAGCGTCTCGGCCCATCACTACCCTGGAGATCCTTGAACCCGTTAACGGGAATACGCGATGTACCAGTAGCAAACTGCAGGAGACGAGACTTCTGCTCGCCGTCCCAGCTCTTGATGGTCTGCCAGAAGAACTTGATGACCTCGTCCGACTCCTGGTATCCTCTGTAGTCGGTGTGCTTTTTCCAGTCATCGACGTCGATCTCGGCGATACCACCGATCAGCAGCTCTAGCTCGCGCTCGTCGAAGACGTTAACCAGGTCCGCGGGGATGAGCTCATGGAAGCCGCTAACAAAGGCCTGGAACTGCTCGTCCACGCGCTTCTGGATGCGCCACTTGATCATCAGATCAACGTATTCCTTCTTGTTCTCGTTCGTCACGGCGATGTCTCTTCCGCCGGGCTTCAGGTCCTCTACACTTGTAACTCCGAAGCGCTCATCTTCTGTCGAGAACGTCTGGTCTAGGACACCCTCAATGTCGTTCTCGAGCGTCCAGACTAAACTTCTGTGGAAGTCGGCGTCGACACCCTCCATGTCCTGTAGTGACACAGGCTTGTGTAGCATCATTTTGTACAGCGCTCCGATGAAGAACGCATCCAGGAACCTGCGGTGGAAAATCGCAAGGCCGACAACGCGGCCAATAAACTTGAAGTAGTTGAGATGCTCCGGGTTGATACCGGAGTGAGGGTTGATCTGGAGGGTATAGTTGTCATGCGCTGAGTACTCGAATAAACAGTAGAAAGGATTGAACATCTCGTGAGAGAGGAGGAAGAAGAATTCTCTGGAAACTCCACCATAATCGAGACCATCTTCGCCCTCAAACTTGATCATCAAGCGCTTCTTCAGATCCGTCGCGCTCTGCCTCATGATCTCAGCATAAGAGTCCTCGAAGATATGAGAACGGCGCGCCTTGATGTGGCACTGTCCAGACAAGATGCGTAGGGCTGGCTGGGACCTGAAGTAGATAAGCTTGCGTCTGAAATCTCTCTTATACTGCGGAACGTTCTGGTCCAGGGAAGAAGGAAGTCTAGGATCGTCCCAAGTCGTCGTCTTAGTATTGTGGTCCACAAAGTATACCCTGGCGGTGTTTGTGAGTCGCATCTCCCATCCACTGGGCAGCGGTCCAAGTTGGGACACTGGCTGCTGTTGGATGGTATTGTTCTGGTTCTGCCCACCGTACATCCGTATGTACTGTTGCCGACGAGGGTCCACCCATGTTGTAGTTCGAGTGTTGTGATCGACAAAGTATGCACGTCCTTCTGGCGTATGTCTCTGCTCCCATAAGGGTGGTAGTTCACCTGTACCTGCGGAAGTAGCTCCAGTGGCAAGCATAGCGAGTGAGCTACCGGCCTGGCTACTAACGGAGGGAGGTGGTGATGGCTGCGGTATGCCTGGTGAGCTGGCGCCAGTCCTGTCCTCTGGAAGAGTCCGGTTCTGATGTCTCTGTCGCTCCACCGCCGTATTGGCATCACGCTCGTTCCGCTGGGTCTCGGCGTTCCCACTCGCCCGAGGTCTGACCCAGCTTGTAGACCTGGTATTGTGATCAACATAGTACGTACGTCCAACGTTATCCTCGCGGCGTTCCCAACCAGCAGGTAGTCTGCCCTGTGCATCTTCAAAGGAACTGAGCACGGTGGGTGCTCGAGAGGACGGCACGGAGGTCTGGCTGGCTGTTGCAGCGCCCATACTGTCAGAGACCGGAGCTCGTCCAGGAGTTGGGGCGGTCGAGATCGCACCGTTCGCCATCATGACACCCTGTGGCTCCGCTACGTGGGTATCTGACCTGGCACCTGGGAATCCACCACTGGCAATCGAACTTTGTGCGGATCCCAACGTTGGTCGAGTCGATTGTGCCGGGGCAGCATTGCGTAGGGGTTCAGACATATTGGTCGACAGGCTGATGATTAGCTTTCCATGAACGACCAGATTGTCATTCGACTTCTTCAGGTCACGCGTGAGCATCTCTGTGATCATCGTTAGCATACTGGAGGATCTGACCGTTGGCAGCGGGACTGCTCACCATCTTCACCAGAATTGAAATCGATCACGTCACCAATCCGGACATTGATAACCCCCAAGAATCCCTGATCCTTCTTCTTGAACTTCTTCTGGTCAAACACCTGGACAGCGAGTATACTATCCTCCGTAGCACGCCTACAGCCTCGTCAGCAAATGAATCTCCCACAAACCCCACCAGCAACGACGGCAGCACGCACATCTCAAACGTCTCATTCCAGTACGGGTTCAGCGTCCGCTTAATCACCGACGTCGTATTCGTTTGTTCGCCGTTGAGCGTCGCGACAGCAAAGGGGTCCGGGAATCCTAAACCCAGCAATCAGTCTCCCGCCACCACAGCAGACTCGAGTGCGGGGAAGGAGGGGGCGACGACATACGGAACACCTCGCGCTTATACAATCCATCAGCAGCAATGACTACACTCTCGTCAGTACAATCCCATCACACACGCCGCAAACGGGTCTCCTACTCGTCACCCTGATGTTGGGCTGCCTAATCCACAGTTAGTCCCCATCCACACATTACAGATGACGCGGAGCTTACCCAGGCAGGCTGGTATCGGCGCCCGTTCTCGCCGACATGGCAACAGCTCGCTCTCACTCTCGCCTCTAACCGAGCGGTATTAAGAAATCGGCGGCGAGTCTTCAGGTCCTGGGAAAAGACCCGGCACTGTTGGGGGTAGGTGTATCGGTTCGTTGTCGTCGGTAGGCGCCTCGATTCACTCCTTCCAAACGAGTGCGGCTGTGCAAGGCGTGTCGCCCCCGGATCGTCCAACAGGCTAGCTAGGCGTTCAGGCAAGGGCCGTCAGCATCACTGGAGCTGGGTGCGCAAGGCGGGGTGCTCGGCGGCCTCGACGTGCGTGGGCGAGATTTGGTTTGATGCTGCTTGGGAAAGGCCTCGAGATAACAGGTTGTGCCGCCGTCACTGTCACACCTTCCCTGGGCGATAGAGAGCTGGAATGCCCACTTCGCTGAAAGGGGTTTAGTGGGGTTTTTGGCCAAGCGTGTGGTCGCTCGTCGATTCTCGCTACAGGGCCGGAATTTTGGAGGCGGCTTACGAGGAGGGAGACGGCTGGGCGATGGGGTTGTTTGTATTGGAGAGGGCGAGGAGGGAATTAAGACGATTGTTTGGACAATGTGCGATTGGATTTGAATCTGTCATGATAGTCTGCTATCGCCCGAGTTACTATTTTGGTTTTGGCGCCCTGAACGGGGGTTTTTTTTCTCGGCAAGGAGGGTAAAACCAGGTAGGTAATCGAACGGGTCCATGTGCGTCACCAGTCAAACAGTCACTTTATCAATGTCACGATGCCAGGCATGGGCCATGAGTGTGCGTGTATAACCAGTCCAAATAACTACGCAGAGGAGTGCAGCATCATTAACTCAAGATTGCCCTTCCCTTGGCTCCCTTCCCTTGGCTCCCTTCACCTCATCTGCATCTGATCTCCACTCATGGCGGCGGTCCGGTCCAAATCTTCTCCCCCGCGGCCTGCTCTATCGTACAGTGAGTTTCCAATTGGTCCCGGCCACCACCCATCCTCCACCATCATCTAGTACGGAGTGAATCCACGTCCGCGCGAGCTTCCACGATATCCCCCTCTGTATCCTCCCCTCGGCGGGAATCCACCCCTCCCAAAGCCTCCCCTTCCCCCGCGTCCACGGCCGCGACCCCTCGTCATGCCCGGGATGTTCGTTCTCTTCGGGTCGACCTACCGGCCGTCAGTATCATCATCCACATGCCCGCCAAATCACTCGGCCAGATCGGAATTCACAAACCTTGAGGTTCCTCCCGCGGAACAAGCTCTCATTTAGCACCAACGCCTGCGCCACAGAGGCCGGCTCCGTGAACTCAACATACGCGTACCTGCACCACCTCATTAGCATCCATCTCTTGCCAGGCAGCGCACTCCCCCCATCCCCATCCCCATTGTCCACCACCACCACGATGAACCAAAAGAAAAGAAAAAGAAAGCAAATCGGAAATCGTACCCCTTCGGCTGTCCCGTAAACTTGTCCAACAAGATCGTAACCCTGTTAATCGACCCACAGCTCTGGAAGTGCGCCTGGATCTCCTCCGGCGACGCGGCGTAATCCACGTTCCCCACGAAGATGGAGCGGCTGTCGATGTCCTCCTTGTCGTCGTGCATCTCGGAGCTTTGTTGGTCGAGGGACGCTTGCATCTCGCGCAGCTTGGCTGCTTCTTCTTCCATCTCTGCGACGCGGCGCTTCATGGCCGAGATCTCTTCCTGGAGGGGTGTTAGAATCTGTATTTCTGTGTATGTGTGTGTCGATGGCAGTGGTGGAGGGGAAGCTTACCTCCTCATTCGTCTCATCATCCCCAGCAGCCATCACCTCGTCAGCCGGCTTTGGCTCGGTATCCGGCATGTTTGTGTGTGTTGGTTGTCGAAGAAAGTACGTGTCCAGAAGTCTTTGTCGTCGTGTAGTAGTGAATAGAACCTGAACCCACAGCGCGCGATGTCAGCAAAGCCCTCTTCACCAAACCCCGGCCAGCACCAAGAAAGCTGAAGAGCTTGTGTGTGTGTGTGTGTTTGTAGACCAAAGCAAGCGAGCAACGGGAAAACAAAGAGGGTTGCGAGGTGTGTAGATGTGTATCAAACCAGCTCCCGGCGCAAAATCAAAGAAACCGTAGATAGATGCCCACACACTTCTCGCACCTTCCGGTCCCTTCCACCCCCATCACCGTGAAGAAGCCCAATCCAAACAGACAGGAACCCCAAACAAGCAGACAAGAGCCCAAACATACCACTAACCCCAAGTTCTTCCCTCTCGATCAAATCCCAATCGTAATAGTCCCTCTTATCCTCTCCCAGCAGAAAGACCCAACAGCAGGAGCAGTAGAAGTCGATCGCAACAAAATCCCCTCTTGACAAAAGAAAGTTGTTAGAAGTAACGTTCGCGAGTGTTGTGGCGGAGAAAGAGAAAATAAATTCCGTGCAAGTGTTGCTGAAGGACGAGGCTGCCGCTGTGCAGTGGTTTGATGGAGTCGCGGAGCTAGGATTAAGCTTGCCGCTAGTGTGGGCGACCGGGGGGGAGGTAGGTCGAGTGAGTGAGGCGGGGTGTTGAGCAATGAATGAGCAATTTTCACCAACCGCAATGGTTGGAGGGTGATGAAACGGTTGAAGGTGATTGCGAGGTGAGTTTTGGGAGTTGGAAGAGTGATGAGGATGATGGTGGAGGAAGGATGGTGATGGTGAGCCGTAAGTGCTGTATAACCCAACAATACCAGCTCGACGGCCACGGTAGGCAGTCGGGATAGGTTGCTGGTTAGTGATCACAAGAATAAACACGCCAGATCACTTCCTGCATCACTATACGATCGTGTAAAGCATATCTTTTTTTCATTCTTTCTACGCCTTCTCATTTCCTTCCTCTCCTCCCCTCTCCCATACACGTCACACACCAGGTCAAACCCAGACCAACTGCCCCTCCATCCCCCTCCCTTTCACCCAACTTCCTTTCTTATATCATACACTCCCCCATCCTCATCCCCGAACAAAAGAAAACCACCCCAAACAGAACTCCACCCCCACCCCCCCCAAAAAAAAAGATCGCGAAAACGACCAAACAATGCATGCTAAGCCGCTAGACGCCATCCATCCCATCCCATCCCATCCATCCCTCCACCACCCAGCCACCCTATCAAACCCGCCAACTAACCCAACAACTCGGGTTGTGTGTCGTGTCTGAGAATGTTTGAACAACAGAAAAACAGAACTTCCCCTCCCCTTCCCAAGACTAAAATAGAGTAGTAGTGTAAAACAAAAAGAATGCCAGAGAGTGGCGTAGAACAAGAGTGCGGGTAATGGCCACACTCCATCTCTCTCCTCATAAAATGGTCGAGCGAGAGAGTACACGAAAGTCAGACAGCAGCCTGCCTACTTCCCCCCCTTAACAGCCCTCACAAAGCCCACCTCTCCCTTCCCCGTCCTCACCATGCCACCCCCCTCCTCAACCTCCTCAATCTCCACCTCCTCCCCCTCCTCCCCATCCCCACCCTCCACACTCTCCTCCGCCCCACTGCTCTCCCCATCCTCCACATAGCTGTACTCCCCATCATCCGAGATGAGGGACGGTGCCTTGTTCGACGCCGTGGCGGGTGAGAGGTTTGCGGCGTCTACGTCGACGTCTGCGTCGTCGGAGGAGGCTGAGATGGTGCCGTATGGCCCCATGAGTGGGAGACGGAGGAGTTGTGAGGCGGGTGTGGGTGGGCTGCCGGGGGTGGCGTACAGATTCGACGGCATCATCCCAGGTCTGCGAAGCGTTGTGGAAGGTCCCTTGCTACTACCCGGTCTCGCAAACCCAGGCGGTAGGATCGGTGCATGTCGTTGTGGCTGTGGCGTGCATGCCAGCGCAGCGGCGGTGTCAGCAACAGCAGCACCGACCTGGCTATTGACGGGAGCATCTTCTGGCAGCACAACAAGTTCAACAGCATCAACCTCGAACTCCGAGTCCGAGTCCGAAGCTGAATCGCTAACCCCATCAGTCCCAACCACACGTCTGCGTTTCGACGGCGTCTTAGCATCCTCAACAAGCTGATCCAGGTTCTGCCCGAACCCTCGTCTATGAAGCAAGCGCGAGAGACAGGGCGCAGAGTCAGAGGGCACGAACCCATCATGCGGCTCTGAGCGTTTACGCGAAGGCGCAGCGGGTTTGACGCTAGGGATGGCAGTGATACCGGGTAGCTTCCCCTCGTAGAACATTCGCGTTCCCTCGCTGATGCGCTCGAGTAGCGTGTTGACAGTCTGGCGATCGTAAGGTGCAGAGCGGATGAGCGGGTGCACGAGCGTGCTTGAGCCGGTGGGGGTGGTGGTAGTGGGAGCCGCGGGTTTCGATTCACCACCGACGATGCCGCCGGTGACGCTGTCGACTTCGACGGGTTGCCCGCTTTGCGAGGCGGCTTCCTCGTGGGACTTGAACTCGCGGTGATGCGCGATGCGGCAGTGATTGATGAATCCTTGTGTGCTACCGAAGTTCTCGCGTTGACACACGAGACACACGAGCTTGACCCATTGGCCGTCAGCGCGCTTGAGCACGAGTGGTCCCGCTGTCTCCTTGGGTGGCGGATACCCGCTCGGTAGCGCCTGAAGCTTCTTGCTCGACGCAGCGCCACGGCGCGGTTTCGCGGCTGGCATCTCAAGAGCCAGACTATTCCTCGTCGTACGACCCGGTACCGTGTTGTTTCCTGCAGCTGCGCCAGGCAGCATGCCCCAACCTGTCTGCACACCGTCGAACCCCGGGTCTGGGATGAGCCAGCTGGCGTAATGCCTGCTATACGGTCCCTCCGTCACGCCAAATGGCGCCGCCATGCGCGGTTGCGTGCGACGCGCCTGAGGTATCGATGGGCCGGTCCCAGTGCTGACAGTCAACATGGCCTCCGGGCTCCCCAGCGACACAGGGAAAGGTATGAGGTGGCAACGGCGCAACTGATCCAGCGCCACCGTCGCCTTCGCAAGTTCCTGGTCGATGCGGCGCAGCTCGTCGTGCTTCATGAGCACCTCAAGACTGAGCTGGTGATCGATGACCTCGCGCATCCTCGCCAACGCGCCCGGTTTCGACCTATTCGGCACGGTCGTCGCCTCCATCTTCCCAGCCTGCGGTGCGCTCAGCCCCGCGCCCATGTCGCACTCCTTCTTGCGCTTCGCCGCCGCGGCGCACGCGCTCACGCTGAGCGGTGGCGCGTCGCGATTGCCCAGCTTGCGCTTCGTCGCGCCGACGGGCTGCACCGAGTAGTCGCGAGCGTCGTCGAGCGGCTGTTCCATACCGGCGAGTTTGTTGTGTCCATGGACCGTCTCGTCGCCTCCCCTGGATTCCGAGATCCACGAAGAGAAGCGGAACATTCGCATGCGCTGATTGTGACGTCCGGGCGCAAAAGGGGTCCCGTCTGCGTGCCTGTTGCTCGCCGTGTCGTCGCTGTCTAGCAGCGACGCCTGTGCGCCTGTTGTCGCTATGATGTTCGGACTCTAGGGCATGGGTTGGTAGGGTCCAGTGTGGTGCGACGTGGCGTTGGGCGCAATCGGAGCCGTGTCGCAAAGCTGACGTATGCCTATGCGACGAAATGAGGAGACGCGGAAGCGACGGGCGAGTTGCGACGGGCGTCGGAGTGTATATGGTCGATTAAAAAGTGAGTATTGAAGTATCTATGCTGGTACAATGTCGTGAAAAGAGTATGAAATGTTGTGGTTGTTGCTCGGAAACGGCGGGTTCGGGATGGCGAATGTTATCGCGATGGCGAATGTTGTCGCGATGGGGGTGGTGGGTGGGTGGGGAGGGAAGATTTGAGTGGCGGACAAACGGGGTGTGGTGTGGAAACGGCGAAAGAGTGGACGGATTGGGGAGAGTTAGGGGAAGAGTGAATTTGGTTGGGCGAGGAGACGAGTGACAAGTGACAAGCAGAGGGTATCAGGAGTATCTTGTCAATTAAAAAGGAGATTTTATAAGTACTAGAGAGGAAGTAGGAGTAGAGGAAGTAGTAGTAGAGGAAGTAGTAGAGGAAGTAGTAGTAGACGAAACAAAAGGGGGTAGAGTAACAGAATCAAAGGAAGGGAGGGATATCAAAGTATGGTTGGAATATGGGGAAATATGTAAAAGTTTGGTGGTTGTAACAGAACGGTTTGGGGGCGACGCAAGAGGAGGAGGAGGAGGGAGGAGGAGGAGGAGAAGGAGGAGGAGGAGGAGGAGAAGGAGAAGGAGGAGGAGGAGGGAGGGAAGGGAAGAGGGAAGGGAAGGGAAGGGAAGGGTTGGGGGGTGGGTTGTTGGGTGAGTGAGTGGGTTGGGTGAGTTGGGTGAGTGGGTTGGGTGAGTGGGTTGGGTGAGTGGGTTGGGTGAGTGTTGGGTGAGTGGGTTGGGTGAGTGGGTTGGGTGAGTGGGTAGGAGGTGAGGAGAGGAGAGGGGAGAGGGAAGGAATGGGCTGGACTGGAGGAGGGAATGTGATTAGTGGTGGGTGGTGGTGGGTGGAGGTGGGTGGTGGTGGTGGTGGTACTGAGAAGGGAGGGAGAAGGGAGGGAGAAGTGAGGGAGAAGTGAGGGAAGAGGCAGGACAAGGCACCATACTTCATTGGGAGAAGGGAGAATGGATATATACCTATATATAGGATATGGATATATATATAGGTAATAGGTATATATCCATATCCTATATCTTTCCATCCATAGGTATGGATTGGCCTGGCAGTGCTGGCTGTACTGTACGTACAGCACTGTACGTACAGCACTGAACTGCCAGGCAAACTGTACTGTACGTACAGCACTGTATGTATGGTCTCCCTCCAACGCTAACGGACAATACTCGGACCATGGGTCGTAGGTGGGCTGTGCTGGACTGTGTGTACTGTAACCGTGCTGGACTGTATAGTCCAATAGCTGTGTACTGTAACCGTGCTGGACTGTATAGTCCAACAACTGTGTACTGTATAGTCCAATAACTGTGCTGGACTGTATAGTCCACTATAACTATCTGTATAGTCCACTATAACTATGTTGTACTGTAGAGGTTGTGGAGGTGGTGAGGTGAGGTGTGGAGCTAGTTTATTAATCCGGAGTAGCGGATTAATAATCTGCCGCTGCCGACCCAAAAAATACCGGATTAACAATATGCCGATGGAGATGGTACAGTCCAGAGGCTACTCCACCAACTTGCTCAGAGGGACTTGACGTATCCAGTTGTCGCGGAGACGGTCGAGGAGCTGCTGTTAACTACACTCACAGATCCAACCATCCGCTACCTCCATCACCAACCTCAAAATCGCAGCCTCCACCTCTACCTCACCTCACCCACCTCACCTCACCTCACCTCACCTCACCTCCTCCACAACTTCCACACGACCTCACATAACCTCCACTCAACCTCACCACAACCACAACCATGCCTTCCGCCCAGTCCAAACCAAAGAAGGCACACGGCAAACAAACCGCCCACCGCCCAGCCGCAAAACCCCCCTCCACGAAACCATCCGCACCGAAAAAACCCTCCCCCCAACCAACCACCATGAAGCTCCCCATCACAACGGCCACATCCTCCAAACGCCCAACCACACACGATACTCTCATGCCTCCCCCCGCGAAGAAACCCAGGCCCTCCCCGCCTACCACCACCACGACGCCCATCACACCCACATCAACACCCACAACCCCCCACCTCCACCCCTCCCTCACCCCCACAACCCACACCCTCCACGCAACCCAAATCCTCACCTCCACCAAAATGCACACCAAGATCACCACTCTCCTCACCCAACTCCGCTCCTTCTCCTTCGCCGCCCCCGCCGCGGCTGCGAAACCAGTCATCGTGATTGCGTGGGCGAAGGCGAAGAGTGCGGGGAAGTTGGTTAGTGTGATGGAGGTGGTGAAGAGGGAGATTGGGGGGGAGGGGGGGGTGTGGTTTCAGTATAACGGGCTTGGGGAGGGGTTTGGGGGGGTGGTGAGGGATGGGGGGGGGGGGAGGATGGGGAGGGGGATGTGGAAATGGAGGAGGATGAGGGATTTGAGATGATGAAGACGAGGGTTGAGAGGGCGATTGAGGGGACGGAGAAGCTGAGAAGTGTGCCTGTTATGACGGTTTATTTGTCGAGGGTTAGGATTGAGGCGTTGAGGGAGGCTTATGGGTGGGGTTTTTTTTTTGTTTTTTTACCCTTTTCTTTTTTTTTGGTCGGGGTGGATGGGGGAGAGAGAGAGAAAGATATGTGCTGACTTGCTTGGGTGTAGGGAGCAGACAAATTCGAAGAGGTGATTTGATGGCGACCTGGGAGAAGAGTGGAGTGGAAATATATATAGGAGATGTGATTATCCGGATGAGAAGAGGAGAGCGGAGAGCAGATGGACTCCGAAAGAAGAATTATATGGATGTACTGCATCCCCAGAGGATATACGCAGCACACAGACGGATACTAAGGGAGGATATAATATGGTACTGAGAGGGAGGGTATAATATGGATACACAACAGCGGGGGAGGATATATACATCGTCACAGAGCCCAATACCCCCATCACCTTGCACCTGCGCAATCCAGTCTGTAGCGAGCAGTTCACAGAAAGCATAGATCACAAACGAAGACATTGTTAAGCCCGTAGCAACCAATTCACTCACAAACCACCCATAAAACCTTCACCAAGACCATTGATTGTCACCCGCATATTCAATTTATTTCGCCATACCATCTACCAACCCATCCACCCACCCATCCATCCATGCCTAAGTTATATTACCCCCCCGTACCATACGCCAACACAACATCGACATGACTGAAAATCCTCCCCTCCCTCCCCCCTACACCACCCTGCACACCCACGCGGCACGCGGCGTCTAACAACGCCGCAGCACAGTCTGTACACCCGCCCATCTCCCCGTTCGTGTCGCCACATCCGCCGCTGTATCGCCGTGTCACACTCTGTACGCCCCGCTCGTTTGTATACCACCCACCGCGTCATCTATGTACAACCGTAGACCCTTCATATCTACCCCCTTCCCCCACCATCACTCCCTCTTCCTCATCTTCAGTTCTTCCCATCCTTCTTCCCGCCATACCCAATCCTCAACACAAAATTCACCCCCACCGCCACCACCAGCACCACCGCCAACACACTCGGTCCAAACCGATCATCAAACCCCGCCTGTCCCCTCCTCCTAATGCTCCGTGCCCTCCAATGATACGTAATCAACGCATAAATCATAGTAGCGATAGAAATCCCCGTGAACAAGAACGCGGAGATGAAGGCGGGGCGGTCGCCAAAGTTCAACATGCCCAGGGCGAGGGCGCCCAGGATGATGGTAGAGTTCAGCCAGGAGAGGAAGGTGCGCTCGTTGGCGAAGAAGACTTTGGGCTCGATGCGCGTGGGGAGGGCGATGCGTTTGCCCGGGGCGGATTGGAGGAGTGGTTGGGTCGACATTTTGCGTGGTGGTTGTGGGTGACGTGGTGTGGTTTTGGAGGTGTTTGGCTGAGCTGGTTGGGAGCTGTAGAGCTGGCTGGGCTGTCGATAGAGCTGGCTGGGCTGTCGGTAGAGCTGGCTGGGCTGTCGATAGAGCTTCAGGTGTAATGTATGTGTGTTGATATGTGCAATTGGTATATGCAATCGATATGTGCAGAACCTGGATGACTCGCTGCCAAGCTTCTTTGTCGTCTCCCAAGCTCCGTCGTCCAGCTGTCGTCACTCCCAGTCTATACGTCGGAGATACCTCGGAGCTCTCTCTCTACCAACGAATGAATGCCCAGTTCAAAAAATCCAGCAAGCTCACAAGCTCACAATATCCAAATCCACAGCTGTCCCTCTCAAATATCCGTAACACAGAAGCAAAGAAGAACCTCAAAGACAAAAAGGTGGGGGAGACACCACCGAAAATGTTTCGCGGCTTATCCTCTTTCCACCGCCCTGCTTCTGTCTGCCTGTGGCAAAACAAGCAACAGCCCAATGCGGTAACCACATTTACACGTGTGTTCGCTAACGCTCCCGACTGGCTGGCTCGGCGCTGTGGCTGCTTTTGTTGTGGCGCGCGTGTCTCAATATATAGGACGACTCTTCTGTAATTGTGGCTGTGCTCGTCTCGTTGTTATTAACTCCGGCCCCGGTTCCGGTGTGGAGATCACGTGATGCATGCACAGACCGTTGCTGGGGCGCGTGCTGTGCGTGGAGTGTAAACACGGTGTGGGTAATTATTAGATTGACAAGCTGAGCCCGCATTTATTGACCTGTCTTGTCTCAACTGGCTACGGAATTTTGTGAGATTGAGAACCCCTACATACAAGCAGTAGATATGTCGACTGCTGCACCAGTTACGCCTGTGAAGGCTGAGGCGGGCAAGGCGACGCCGGTGAGTTGAATGAGGGCTTCTGGATGGTGATGCTGATGCTGATGGTTGATGCTGACGGGTGTGAAGCCGATTAGTACTACGCGTTTGAAGCAGATTGCTACTGATGTATGTTTTCAATTCATCCCTCCTCTCCACGAATGAACGAATGAACAGACGGACCGACGGACAAGAGCACGACGAACGTTCACACCCAGAACAACCAACTAACACAACCAGGCCTGCACCTCCGCCCTCGAAGGCGCAGAATTCTACGAGCACGCAAAGACCGCACAGTGGAACAGCGCGATCATCGTATGTCCCCCTTATCTCTCCCTCCTTCCCCCCTCCTTCCCCCCTCCTTCCCCCCTCCTTCCCCCCTCCTTCCCCCTCCTTCCCCCCTCCTTCCCCCTCCTTCCCCCCTCCTTCCCCCCTCCTTCCCCCCTCCTTCCCCCTCCTTCCCCCCTCCTTCCCCCTCCTTCCCCCCTCTTCCCCCCCTTCCCCCCTTCACCCCCTACCTCCCCCCAAAACCACCCAGCTAACCCTTCACCTCCCCCCCTAGAACGCAATCCTCAAATCCCTAATCTCCGAATCCACCACCCCCCCGCCACCCAACCCGCCTTCAAATTCGCCGTCAACAGCACCATTATCCAGCACCTCGTGCCCACCACCGCCCTCGGGAAATCCAGGAGCGTCAAGATGGGAGAGGGAGACACGAAGGAGGGAGAAGCGACGGCGGAGCAGGCAGGGAGGAGAGGCATGAATAGCGCGACGGGGGCGTATTGGAATGAGGCGACGGATGGGATGTGGAGTTTTAAGTTTGAGGGGGGGAGGGGGCTGGATGTGGTGATTAGTGTTATTTGGGTTGGGTTGTAGGTGAGGAATGGGAGGGTGGATTGTGAGGGCGTGGAGGGCGAGAGATTGGGAAATGGCAGATGGGGGGTGAGAGTTGGAGCATGAGAGCATGGAGAATGAGAGCATGAAGGTTCATATGGGCATGGCATTTGTATATGGAGAATGGCAGTTTACGAGCGGTGAACGACGAGTATAACCATGCTGCTTTCTTGCTACTCATGTGGAATGCAATGCAGTGCAGTGGAGCTGACTAACCTTCTGGATATGATATGTTGGAGGTTGACCTACTGCAAGCACGACCATACCCTGCATGGCATCGCCTTCACTGCAGATTGTCGGTATATAAAGTCTATTCCTTCGTATAACCAATCATCATCACCACATAACTGCTCATGCAAACACTCAAACCGTTGATGCAAATACTCAAAACTGCAAATTTCCATATCAGGGATTGGATGCCCGCGGAAATGTTGTTCTGTGGGAGTTGTGAGAAGCTCGCGAACTGGGCGCAGGTGGATGGGTTTAGGTGCCCTTGTAAGGGGGTGAGGAGGCCGGGGATGAGTGGGGAGAAGGGGAGGGGAGTGGGGGGGTGTTGAGAAGATAGACGGGTCATATCGATTAGAGCTACCACCAAGCATGAGGATACATCCTGTCTTTCACAGCAACCTCTTAAGACTTGATTCAAATGATACATTAAGTGGCTAATACCAGGAACCATCACCTCTAGTCATTGTGGATGATGAACTTGAATGGGAAGTTGAGGAAATTCTGGATTCAAAGCACTTACGAAAAAAGTTATTTTACATAGCAGCATGTGAAGAATCACCTGCCTAACAACACATGGTATCTAGCTACAAATTTCGAACATGCACTAGAGATCACATAAGCATTCCATTAGAAATACCCTAAAAAACCGAAGTTACTGAATTTTAAAATTTTCTACTCTTGATCAGGAGATCAATCTCAAATGGGAGGGGGGTAGTGTTACGATATTAGCTGAAGCTACTCGAGCTAGTAGTGTTACGATCGCTGCTTACGGCTGCTAGCAATTAGGGCAACAAGTACCCACAGTAGCCACTAAGGTTACAGGGAACCGCTAAGTGTACAGCTGTATATAATGAGGGATAGCCTTACTTCCTTTCTTTCTTCTTCTTCTCTCTTTAGATTCAATCTAGCTTATTATTTTCTAGACTGGCTTCTTAACATGACCATCGTAACACCCTCCACCTCTTGTATTCCCTCCTTGCTAGATTCAAAAAGTTCGAAAGGTCCATAGCGTCTAATATATGACTAGCTTGTTGTACTAGTGTATATAAGTCGTTTAGAACAGGAAGTGGGTGTATAGGAAGCTGTATTAGGCATAAAAGAATCGTGCTTTTTTGAAAGCAATTGTAGATAGTCATATTTGTAATGTTATGATGCCGTGATTAAATAAGCTAGTGAATTGCAAACTGTATTGTCATTATTTTGATTAGATCTAGGTTGTTGCTAAAAGATTTGAGCATGAACTCAAGCCATTACCAACGATAATAGCTTTTTAAAGAGGATAACGTACATGTATAGCGAAAGCGCCAAACAAGCGAAAGCGCCAAAATTATCTACCCTCACGACAAACATTGCGATAAATCTACCACAACATTAGAAATCAATTGAAACTACTCGGAGTCCTCTTCCTCAGAGGTGTCTATTACAATCTGACACGTGCGCGCATTGTGCCCAGTCTCACCACACTTGCCACAGCGACGGGCACGGGTTTCTTCCCTTGGCTTCCGACCACGGCTTGCCCTTATTTCCTGCTCTACCTGCTGCACAACATCCCTCTCATCCTGTAGCTCTTGCGCCCCTTGTTGACTAAGTGATCCTCCTTGCTGTAGTCGTGTTTTCCTAGCTCTCCGGCGCTTGCTTAGTACTTCATTTGCCTGTCGTAGGTTTTGGTTCTCTCCCTTTAGCAGTGCTAATTGATGCATTATTTGCGATGCACCCTTTGTAAACTGGTCAACAGCTGCATAGATTGAGGTTGGAGAGCTATTTTGATGGCGTGAAATCCGAGTTTTAATAAATGTAGACTGTGACATAGCTTCAATTGGGTTGTTTGGTGTCTGAGAAACCCAAGGTTGAGCAGTACCTGGGCGGGAGCTTGGAGGCGTTGGTGTCCTTAACTTAAGATCAAGTGTAGATATCACTCTCTCAGGGTCAAATGGAAGAAGCCCTGCCCCTCGGAACCCGCCTCGAATGTTACTTTCCGTCATTGTAGTGTTAAATGCAGTGTGGAAGGCAGGAAAGAAGTCATCCTTTGTAATATGAGAAATATGAGCCTGCATCATATCTTCAATTTGCCGACCATAGGCCTGCTTTAACGGGCTGAAACAGCCAACATCAAGTGGCTGGAGTAGATGAGAAGAGTGAGCAGGCATACAAAGCGTAATAATGTTGTGTTCCTTGCAGTACTCCTCAAACTCATCTGAGTGGTGGCTCTCATGACCATCAAGGACTAACAAGCGATAACCACCAACACTCCGGGCCTTTGTATGCTTCTCAAAGTGCTGAATCCAATCCATGCCTCTCTCGTTTGTAGTCCAGCCATTTTCAGTAACAGAAATCACCCAATCGCTTGAAAATCCACTATTCTCATACCAAGATGTAAGGTGGTTTTTGCCTGCAACAATGATAAATGGTGGTACTGCCCAACCTTGAGAACTAACGCCTTGGATTACTGTAACCCATTCCCGATTACCAGGCTGTACCTTCTTTGCTTTTGCCCGCCCGTCTGAGCTTGTTACAACCATAGCAGTTGAGATAACGCCCATCATAAACCCAGTCTCATCAAAGTTGTAGATATCTGCTTCATCGATACCATATTTCGCAATTGTGTTACGCACAAGCTCAAACCAGCCATTAATAACTTCTGGATCTTCGCACTTAGCCCTCTGGTAGTCGTATTTGCGCTGAAAGCGTGTCTGGAGCTCTACACGCCGCTTAACAAAGTTTGAAGCCCAACGCGACCCAACGCGACCCAACGCGTGACGCGTCGCGTGACGCGTCGCGTGTTGCAAGTAGTCGACTTGCCATATCTTCAACAACAGACAGCCGAGGAGGAAACCCTTTGGCAGCTAGGTCGAGTATATACTGAACAAGGACGGACTCCTCTAGGTTAGTTAATTTCCGTGAGTTGGCTTGGATATCGCGTCGTGAAGGTACACCTTCTAGACGACGACCTAGCTTGCGGTGGTCCACAGAATAGATCCTAGCAGCAACTCGAAGGCGTAACTTTGGGTCGCTTTGCATAGCCTGGATAGCTAGCACTAATTGGCTTTCATCGTTTTTATGGGGCATGTTTTGTTGTTGAGGAATTTAACATTTAGTTGGGGGGTTTGGTCACCGCATCATTTTGGCGCTTTCGCTTGTTTGGCGCTTTCGCTATACATGTACGTTATAATACCTTGATTAAGAGGTTGATATCAACTAGTCACATTTAGAGGAAGCTAGATAATTCATATGTTTAGAGGATAAGGCGTCGATTCCACTATAGTAATATAGGCTGAGAAGTTATCTATTATAAGTAGTATAGAACGTAATGTACTAATATGAGTAACGTGGTTTATCAGTACGTCGGACATATCAGTACCTCGGACACTTTTCATTGGCATTATACTTTGAATATCAATAAATCAACCATAACATATTAAATTAACTATAACTAAGCGAAATCAGATGAACTAGACATATCTATAGCTTCTTGACAAATTCACGCATTATGACCAGCTTTTCCACAGATCCCACAGCATCGCCTAGATGGTTGCCCCTCCTTGCGACTACCCCCAACCGCACGTACGTCGCGTCATACCTGCTCATCCACATCCTTCTGTGCGATAATAGCCTGTGCATCCTCTACTATAAGTGCACCTCCTTCATGGACACGAGCCTTTTTAGCCCTGCGGCGTTTGCTAAGGGCTTCGTTGGCTGCTCGAAGGGTACGTACCTCAGCAGACAGAAGGGTGTTCTCATGTGCTAGTCGCTCCGTACCCTTTGCCAATGCAATAACTGTCCCGAAGAGTGGAGTTGGCGAGCTTCCTTGGTGACGGGCAATTCGATTTCGAACGAGGGTTGTTTGTGAAAGAGCTTCAGTTGGGTTGGAAGGGGTCTGGGAGACCCAAGGGTTGGTGTTGGCAGTAGAGGGTCTAGAGGGAGTTGGAGTCCGTAACCTCACGTCAAGCTTTGAAAGCACTGCTTGCGGGTCGAAAGGCACTAAGCCAGCTCCGCGGAACCCGGACTGGGCGTTTTGGGCTGTCATGGATTCCAGATATGCTGCTCTAAAGGCGAGAAAGAACTCGACCTTGGTAATGTGGTTGATATGAGCCTTAATGAAGGTCTCAATCTGCCGACCATATGCCCGCTTCAACACACTAAAGCACCTGACATCAAGTGGCTGAGTTAAATGAGACGAGTGGGGAGGTAGTCCAAGAGTTATAATGTTGTGTGCCTTGCAGTACTCTTGGAACTCGGCCGATTCATGACTCTCGTGCCCGTCTAACACCAGCATTCGATATGGACCCCTTGCATGAACAGCAGTATGTTTGTCGAAGTGTTTCAACCATTCTAGACCTGTCTCATTGTTTGTCCATCCATTGCTTGTCGGTTTAACAACCCAGTTGTGTGGAAGGCCGCCGTCTGTATACCAATTTGCAAGATGATTCTTGCCTTTAACTACCAAAAATGGAGGAATACTCCAGCCGTCACTGTTGATACAAGCAATCACTGTAGCCCATTCCCGATTCCCTGGCTGAACTGCCTTACCTCTGCCAAGTCGATCTGCACGGGTAACAACCATTGCAGGGCAAATCACACCCATCATAAACCCAGTTTCGTCAAAGTTATAGAAGTCGCAGTCCAAAACACCATATTTTGCCC